TTTTGGTATGTATCTCATAGCGCTAATTAATTCGATCAATATGTGTAAATTTTATTCGACGTAACTTTTCAAAATTTTTTATTGTCTAATGTTTTAATTTAAATCAGAGATAATAAGTACCATTACACAGAATTGTTCTATCGTATAGAATAAGGTAAAATATTTTGTCCTGTTATTGCTATTGTATAAGTATTAAATTGAAAAACATTGAGATTGAGTGTGACACGTGATATGCTATTTATATATGATACGTGCTGTTGTTGTATGAAATAATGTAGAATGATTGATATTAAGAAGAATGTTATTATTGAATGTAAGAAGTAGCCATGGAATCAAAATGAGATATTGTAAGTATTTCCAACAGAGTAAGCTTATGTAAAACAAAAAACTTGTCAGCATAGCCCTTGTGGAATTCACACATGTTCCTTAGTCTTATTATATTAATACAAACTACATGAAGTAAAAAATCTCTAGCAGAGTATAGTTATTTTTCAATGAAAATCTGATATGCTGAAAAACAATCTGTACAGAAAGTTTTTCTTTTTTTATTAGCGCTCTATTTTCTCTTTACTATCTTGTTTTTCTTTTTTGTATTTCGTTTTTCTTAATTTAACACTATTATTATTCTCACTACTGATTTTACTGACAAATAAGCTTGCTGTACATATCCATTATAGCTACAGCAAGTCTCAGCACGCTATTATATATCTCAATAAGCTCAGAAGTATTGCTTATTGATGATTTCCTAAAGGTGTATAACCTAATCAGTTCACGCTTTTTATGCTGATCATATGACGACTATGGAAAATCAATTCATGATTGTCCATCATCCTTGATATCTTGAACACAAATATTTGACTAGGGAAAACTGAAAAAATGCACTATCTAGAAAAGACATCAACGTATTCTAGGCATTCAAAGTCCAAGGAAGACTTTGGAATGTGTTAGAATTTTCTAAAACAATTTAAGTTTTGTTGTTCACGCTATTCAACATGTTTTCCGTTGCTAAAGTAGCCGCGATAGCTGAGTGGCTACCTTGTTCGATACATATCCACGAGGTCATGTGCTCAAATCTCAACCAATTCTGAAAAAGGAGTCTGACACCTTTTGCCATCGGATGTTATAAAAGCCTAGTCCATGATTGTTTGCCTGTCTGCTCCTCCTGCTGCTATGAAAAACATATTCGTTGACCCCTGACCTTTGACTCTCGTGGCTATTGGGGAAAGCCACCAAACTTCGACTTATATCCATTACATTTTTCTTCGAAAAAGTATGATATAAGTTTTACAACGTATGATTCGTCGGAAAACTAATGTGAAACTATACCATCAATGTTTGAAATATCTGTTAATTCATGTTTGCGAATTAAAGGCTCATAAAAACATTATAATCAAATGTGTCAAAAACTAACAAAACCCTATTTAAAAAAAGTTTCGAAATAAAAATTTACTGAAACAATTCTAATTTTCAGATTCTCAAAATTATACTAAAGAATTAGATAATCGACAGTGTGAACAAGATTTGAGAGAAGTTCTTGAAACATGGAAACGAATTCCTACTGAACAATTCAAAGAGCGAGTGATGGAAAAACATGTAAAAGAGTGTTGCTGTTTTTCTTTTCGTCACTTTCTATTTGACATTTATTCATAAAGGCATATCTTATTACAGAATGGAATGAAAGTTTAATTAAAGCATTAGCAACAGAAACAACTATTGGGAAAAATATTGAATTGACTGGGGATATTTTATGTAGAGCTTGTGGTTATCTACTTGGTAAACTTTCACGAGTTCGTCAACATGAACAATCTTATTTTGTTAATGATCATGATTTTTACAATCGTATTGAAGAAAAATTATTACCTGAACCACACGAATATTCGAGAACTTCAGTAACTGGTAATTTGTTTTGTTTGCCAGAATATTACTTGAGATTCTTTTATTTATTTTCAAAGGTAAAGCATTATGTGGAAGTAAAAATTGTCGTGCTGAATTAGGTTGTATTCAAGTTTTAAAAGATCTTCCAAAAATTAGTCCAATATATCCATTAAAATGTGAATGTATTAAAATAAAACAAATTGAAAAAGAAAGCGGAAAAGAAATAATTATTTTAAAAAAGAAATGGAAAAAAATGCCATTTACAATTCCACTTCTTGAAATCTCATGCACACAAAATGATGACATATTTTATGATGCTTTTGATATTCTGTGTAGTGATTAATAATAATAATAATAATAATAATAACAATTTTTTATTCAATTTGTTGACTCAATTAAAATTTTAGATTTTGTTTTATTTATCAAAATTATTGGTGCATTATTTCACGATCTAATGACGTACATTTTTATATAAACATTATATTCAATGATTTGAATACGTATTTTTTCATGGCGTACTTTAGGCTAAATAAAATAATGAAGATAAATAATTATAAATATTATTTGTTTATTATTAGAAATTATTCACTTGAATCATAGATACTATACTTGGATTTCTGGAAAATGAATTTTAGAAAACATGTTTTTCTTGATCTTTTTTTACTTGAAAGCTTCTTTCAGTGACCTAGAATGAGAACTACGGATGCTTTAGAGGGGATCTGGACAACCTACAAATACTTCCTAGGCATGCATTGAACTCCCACGTTCGGATTTAGTCTTAAATACAGCCATGTTCAGTTAATAAATGAAACTAGGAAGTAGAAGTAAACCAAAAGAAAGGCTTTCACGGTTGTCTACAATAAGTCTACAGACAATGAAGTAAATCAGTCAACAACTGAAAGGCAACAGACTTTCTAAAAACCAGTTAATGATGTTTGGATATAACCAAATCCGAACGCCAATTTGACAGAACATAATGCTGCTTCTGTAATTACCTATATGTTTCAAGAACTGCTTAAAAAACTACGTAAGCACTAGACGCGGTCTGAACTCACTAGATACTTTCCAAACCTGAATCATTCAGTCAGAACTCTGAAGTGGCGTTCGGATTTACTGCATGCCTAATATCTACGAATCACGTGAAAGCTGCAAAATCATATAAAGTTCGAAACGAGTAGTATATGAACAGGGATTACAAACTGCGCTTTTTGTTTTCAACTGAAGTANACAACCTACAAATACTTCCTAGGCATGCATTGAACTCCCACGTGCGGATTTAGTCTTAAATACAGCCATGTTCAGTTAATAAATGAAACTAGGAAGTAGAATTAAACCAAAAGAAAGGCTTTAACGGTTGTCTACAATAAGTCTACAGACAATGAAGTAAATCAGTCAACAATTGAAAGGCAACAGACTTTCTAAAAACAAGTTAATGATGTTTGGATATAACCAAATCCGAACACCAATTTGACGGAACATAATGCTGCTTCTGTAATTACCTATATGTTTCAAGAACTGCTTGAAAAACTACGTAAGCACTAGACGCGGTCTGAACTCATTAGATACTTTCCAAACTTGAATCATTCAGTCAGAACTCTGAAGTGGCGTTCGGATTTACTGCATGCCTAACATCTACGAATCACGTGAAAGCTGCAAAATCATATAAAGTTCGAAACGAGTAGTATATGAACAGGGATTACAAACTGCGCTTTTTGTTTTCAACTGAAGTATAGCATTTTCGTTGATGCAGACACCCATTGTTACCGTGGCTTTAATTATAAAAGATAATACTTACCAGGGATTTTTTCTAAGTGTCAAGTCACTTTTGAATTGGAAATATGTGTATTATGTAGGTTCTAATAAGCTATGAATAGCCTAAAAAGAGCTCGAGCTAAAAGCTTATTGCTGTTGAGATACTGTATTTTTATCTTAGCCTTCAATGTCGTGATCCCCTCAGGAACGCAAGGAAAACTGAATTTCGAATTTCGACTTAAAACTTTGTATAGAAACATGTCTCAACCCGAATAGTTTATTGTAAACGTTTCAGGTTGCTTGATTGATTCTACCCTCTAACACAATTGTAGTAAAAGCATGTTTTTCACGTTGCTCATTTACAACGACAAATTTCGATGTTCTTATTTGAGAACAGACGTAATCTAAAAAACTGAAACTTCCACAATAAGCTGTTCTAGTTAATGCATATCTCTATGTAAAGTTTCAAATCGAGATTCGAAACTCAGTTTTTCCTGTGTTATTGAGAGGGTACCACGATATTCTGCTATACAATTCGGTAAAACTACAATATCTCGACAGCAATAAGCAATTAGCCCGAACTAATTTCAAGATATTCATAGCTTATTAGAACCTATATCATGCACATAGTCCCGATTTGAAAGCAATTGGACACTTACGAATGGTTCCTCGTTATCCTTGTGTTTACTTGTAAAGCATCTTGTATAAGTAAAATTCAATGTAACTATCGCTATTTGTGTTCACGAAAAACAATACATTCCAGTTGAAAAAAAGTACAGCCTAAAATAACTGTACGCAGTTTTTACAGATAATTGCCCAGGTTAATATATTCTCTTCACGATATGTTGGTAAATTATCATAGTTTTGTCACCTTCTTTTTTTTATCAACAATGAATGCTGAGCTACGTACTTTTATGATATCTCTAGTTCTTAACATTAGTCTAGGATGATGATGTCAACCGTCAACAACGATGTCTTGAATGACTATAAAAATGACTTATTAATGTTCTATGTTTTCTCGTATTTCACTATCAGACAGTATTCTGCTTCATGGATTGATTTTTTCGCTAGAAAATGGTGATTCTGTCTCCTACTATTCTTTCCTTTTTACAGCCCATCGTAAACGGCGACATCATGTCGGCTGTTTTATATTGTTCGTGGTGCTGTTTTATCGAGCCTCGAAGATTTTTTTTTGTTAACTCAATGAAATTCCTAGTGAAATTTGAACGAAATTGTGTCATTGTTCGTTTACTATTCAGAGTAAAATCTTTTAGCAATCGAAGCATTTTTACTTATTAGAGTATCTTTTCTCTGACAAGAACAATGAATAAAAGTATTAATAATTCTTTTATGTATATTTTAAGATTGTAATTATGGATCAATCGAATGAAGACTTCGAATTTCGAGTAGTGTTACTCAAAATTCAAAATTCACTGTCTGATACAGACCGTAGGCAATTGCATTTTTTATTCGGTGAAGATATTCCACGTCGTTTGCAATCTGATGGCTCACTAGAAAATGCACTCGAAACTTTACAAGCACTTTTCGATCGTTTAAAGATTTCAAGAAATAACTTTGATTATCTTGTTCGTGCATTAGAAGCTATTGAACGTAATGATTGTGCTGAACGTTTGCTTAGTAAAATACTACACTCTATTTAATAAGATTTAAATGGAATAATATTTTTCTTAGATTACCAAAAGCTGATACCTACTGAAATCATACCAGCTCTACCAGCGGAACAACAGCAAAGCCAAGCTCAGAGGATACTCGAATTACCACCACTAAGCACATCAGAAAGACCTACTAACCAAGAAATTCTTGATGATCTTGCTGAAGATGATATTATGTGTCTTTCACGTAAGATTATTACAGTAGTAGGCAAACGTCTTCGTCTCAGCTGCTGTTGGTCATTACATGCGCTGGAGGTTTGAAAATTTGTGTGCACGTTCTTCAGCCAAGAACGTATGCCATTGGAGCATTATAACCTAAAAAAGAAAGACTGCCTACAAAATATTGCACTGTTTCTTACTAAAAATTTGACTGATTCTTTATATTTTTTACATGTAACTGAAGTTTCATCTACGGTCTTTCTTATTCCAAAAGATAAGTTCATTTGTTTGAATGTTGATATTTCTGTATCCTTGGAACTAACAAGACTATCATCTATGCTCCATTTCTCTTTAGTACAAGATTTACTTCTGAAACTTCCACGTAATAATGTCGAACTGTAGGAAAAGCTTCAAAAAAAATTGAACTTGTTTCATGGAACTATCACTGAATTATTGACTTTCAAGGAATAGTAGATGATTTCTCTCCATAACAATGATGACAATAAAATGAGCATCGTTTTTGAAAGGATTGATGAGCTACCATACAATAGGTACTGTGGATAGCTGGGATATAGCATTAAATATTGAGAAGTCGGTTCCGGCTCTGGTCCACAAAAACATGGACCCGAAACTATCTTATAAGTATCAATCGGTATCATCAATTTTTTATGCAAAGTTTTTAAAACCGATATCATTACTTGTTTTCAATGGTCTACAGTCAACTGCTGCAAACTCAATAGGAGCAACTTTAGTTTCTTGCTTACATCGATTTGGAATAGCTGGTGCTTTTTTGAAGATGCATAAAACTAATTGATACTTGTTTGAATATTGACAACTATTATTTTCTTTACTTTGACAATTATAAATTTGCTTAGATAGTGAACTAGCATCAGAAGATGATTTATAAATAAGTAAATCTTCAGATTGATTGCATAGAACATATTCTTACTTGATCTCGTTTCCATCAATACAACTAAAATTATCCTGTAAAGGTGAAGATTTTGGTGTTACTGTTAATTTGACGAATTTTGTTTCTCAATCAACTTTGCAATTTCTTTTTTTTTTGGTTAAGATAATTCTCTTTTCAACTAAGCAAAAGCTTTTCATTTATTTAGCATTGAGTGGTTGAAACATGAAGGACAGAAAATAACTGTACGCTAAATTTTTTCTGAGAGTGGCCACTAAATAGTCAAAACCATAATCCTTAACTTATTCATGTACACTGAGAGTACCAGATATTCGTGGAAACAAGCTCGGATTTCTGTCCATAAAACTATGAACTGAGAGTCACCTAGATAGCTGATATAGAATAGTCTTCCTTTTCAGGGTTATGACTCTGTCTACAAAAACGGGTGACATTCATTGTAACTTTCTTTGTAATTAAGCAATAATGGCGCCGTAATGCTAATGGCCTACACTCTTCGTGAAGTGCTTGTACAGACCTCCAATATATACAGTGGTCGAGATTCACTGTTACAGAGACTTTTGTCTACTACTGTATAAAAACAAATTCTTCAATTTATTGTTTTTGTATAGAGAACGCTAAGGTATCAATTGGATTCAATCCACCCGATCCAGATCCAATTGATTTTAATAAAATAAATTTAGAACCATTCGAAGATTCTTCTCATCCGTGGACTGAAGAATATTCAAAATTACTCAATTTGAAATTTCATCCTCGAGCTTATCAAATTGAAATCATACGAAATGCTATTCGTAATGGTAATACTATTGTTTGTCTTCGAACTGGTTCTGGAAAGACATTCATTGCTTCGGTCATAATAAAATATTATTTCATAAAAAGTCAAAAAACAAATCCCGATAAAAAATTTTTCAGTCTATTCTTTGTACCAAGAAAAGCCATACGATTACAACAAGCAAAGGCAATTTCAGATGTTGGTAATCTACGAGTACAAATTTGTGAAGATGATCAAACAATTGATCAACTAATCGATACAAATCATCTTATTGTTGCCACACCACAAAAATTTGTTAATTGTTTAAATAAAGAAACCATTCGTTTATCTCAAATTAATTTTATGATTTTTGATGAATGTCATAATACATCAGGTGGAAATCCTTATTGTGAAATAATGAAATATTATTTATGTCCATCTAAAAAACAAAATACTACAGAAAAACCATTAATTATTGGTTTAACAGCAACAGTTAGTGCTAAAGATGCTCTTGAAAAACGAGAATCAATTGAAAAAAATCTTGTTAGTTTATGTAGTAAACTTGCTTGTGAAAATATTTCAACTGTATGCGATATAAATAATATCGATGAAATTAATCGTGAAATAAGTCGACCAACAAATGATCAATTTCAATATGTTTCAAAAATAAAATATAATTCATATTTTACTGAATATTTAAAAACATTTGGAGATCTTATTAATAATATTAAACATCATTTGGATAGGCGAGAATCATTAGATGGACAAGATATTGGTTCTTCTGGATTTATTGGTCAACTTGTACTTTTAAAACAAACATTTGAAACAAAAGGTGATATGAATAATATTATTATGTGCGATTATTTATTATTATTAACAAAAAAATATTCAGCATTTAAAGATTTACCATTTGATATGGTTCTACAATATATATTAAATAAAATTGAAGACTATTATAAAGGATATCAACAATCCGTACCAATGAATAATGTATGTTATGAACGTTGTAAAACTCATTTGGGTAAACTCCTAGAGAAATACATAGAACATCCAACAACAAATTCAAAATTAGATACATTAGTTGATCTTGTTGTACAACATACTCCTAGAGATACAAAAGGTGAATATTTTTATCTGTGAGGCTTTTTATTTTTTTCTAATTACTGTGTTTCAAATGTAAATAGGACTTATTTTGGTACAAACAACTTTTTACGCAAAAACACTTTGTGATTATTTGTGCAGTCATCCAAAATTAGAAGTAAGTCAATAACTCTATCAATTAATATTAGAATAATTCTTCTTTTAGAATATTGTTAAAGCAACTTGGATTGTTGGTCAAACTAGTGCGGATCATTCTTTGACAATACATGATCAAGCAGCTAGATTAAAAAAATTTCGAGAAGGTTCGTTGTTCCTTTTTTTTCTTTTCATTTATCTGACTTCGTTGAATATTTTAGATGAATGCAACGTACTCATTGCCACCGGTAAGTTATTATTAATATAATAATTTATTTATTACAAAATTGGAAGTATTTAAGTTATAATAGATGGTCATTGATTTTAGTCAATGATTAAACAGATATATTTTCTTTTATTATCAACTTCAGAATTTTTCAAAAATTATGCTGCCATAATGAATAATAATGGACTTAAAATATCATTTTCCAGTAGTGTAGGTGGATGAGGGTATAATGCAAGCATCATAAGTCAGTCATTAAGAGTTGCAGCATAAGGAAGTATATAAATGAACAGAATGGAGAAAAAGATACTCTTCATGGAATTTGAATCTTAGACATTTTGCTATTCGAGCAGATGTCCTAAGCAAATCAGACCGAAAGAGGCATCATGTTCTTCATTTACCATCCGAATATATCATCATCGACACTAAGATATGGAGGAGAGTCAAGGAAAAATGGCATAATCTCGTCAATCCTGCATTATAGGAAGCACATCAGAACTACAATGGTAGTCCAAGCGTATGTCGTTATCTTCGTAGATTTATGTCTAGCTTTTTCTCAATTATAAAGTTATTCTAGAACTCCATACTCTGTGTAACTTACTATACTCTCATATTTCTTCTGGTTTAGGGAGCATGGAAGAATGTCACTTTCCTCTTGGCTTGGACTTCATATATTTCCACTGCATTGCCTGTACTTCGAGAGTATATTCAGCACCGGAGTGCCTTGTTTCTCCCTTGGCGAGGATACACAAAACACTCTCACTCACACCCACATCTATGCATTCACAACGAATAGTCTTGCAACGAATCGTCCGGCCATTGGGTATCTCAGAGTAATCAATAGGACTTAAGAGTGTAATACTCCAACTGTGGTCTTGCTTTTAAGCTGATATTTGGTCCATCAAAAGAGTTTGGTAAAATTAGCACGTTCATTTTCATGATCTGCTGGTTAAAAGTTATAACCATTTTAGTACATTTTCTGCTTAGCTCAAAGTTAAGTTGTCTATAAGAAAATAGAATGAAGATATTTCGATCTAAAATTCTGTTCATTAACAGATCTCATGATTCCAAGCATACAGTGAAATTTTTCGGTCAAAACGGATGCTTCTCTCTCGAGATACGTAGTTTCCAGGGTATATCCACTATCGTGACCTTAGTCTCAGAGAAGGAAATTTTCTTTTTGAATTTAAAGTGTGGGTGTGGGTGCATGTGACGAGTACATCCACATCCACACCCACATTCTTTATTTTCACTTTGTTACAATGAGAGAAAACTATGTGAAAGAGAATGAAAATCTTCAGCAGAAAAACAAATTTTTACATCAAGAAAAACAGTTAACTTGATGATCGATGAAGACCGTTTGCTTTTGCTTAGATGTCGATCATCAAAAAGAAAGCGAATTCAAAACAATGCAAAAATTAAGAACATTATTTTTGAATGATCTTTTAAGTCTTATAATTAATTTTAACAATAGTATTGTTTTCTTTTTCAATAGAACCAAAGTTTAAACCATTTTGCTTTTTTATACTCTTATAATCATTTTANTCATTGCCACCGGTAAGTTATTATTAATATAATAATTTATTTATTACAAAATTGGAAGTATTTAAGTTATAATAGATGGTCATTGATTTTAGTCAATGATTAAACAGATATATTTTCTTTTATTATTAACTTAAGTCTTATAATTAATTTTAACAATAGTATTGTTTTCTTTTTCAATAGAACCAAAGTTTAAACCATTTTGCTTTTTTATACTCTTATAATCATTTTACTTTGCATAATTCGATTCATTTTATCGATACATGATCATTAGTCAATGCTTTTCTTCTATAAAGGCGACTATAAGGTTTTCGATGACTTTTGATTACATAAAAGAATACATATATAGGCTTTTAGAAAAACTTTCTTTATCTAATAGTGTATGCATTATTAACTTTTACTGTATGTTGTTAAAATGTCGATAAGTAGCACCACCTTCATCATAGCCACTTTAGAAGATGGCACCACCTATTGACATGTTAGCAATACACAATAGAACCTGATAATATATATACCATTCGACAGTAAAATTCTTTCTCTACAAGCCTGCATAAATCCCGTTCTATAGTCAAAACGTTACAGTCTTCTTTAACCTTAAATGAGGACCCATGTAATCCATTTTTTGTTCTCTGTTCATATCTAACAAAACGACATGTCTTTACTTTCGATTTATGTCCAGCATGTATACAATGCATGGATATATGTCTATCATTTCTTATTTAGATATTGTTCAAGAAGGTTTAGATATTCCAACATGTTCTTATGTTATTCGTTATGAATTTGTATCAGATGAAATTGGTACAATTCAATCACGAGGTCGAGCAAGAGCACAAAATAGTTTCTATTATCTAATAACCGAACTCGATTCAATGAATCATCAACGAGAGAAGAAGAATAAAATTCGTGAAGAAAATATGGAAATAGCTATTAATCGATGGCAAACACTTGATAAAGATATATTTCAACGTGATGTTGCAACGAAAGCTGTAAATAAATAAGATCAAAAAAAAAATATTTATGTGAATTATTTTCTTCATAGAAATCACTTATTAGTGAGTGGGAAAAAGATTTAATACTTGAAATGCAACAAAAAACTGTATTACAAAAAATTGGTAAAAAAGATGGTTCAATATGTTGTCGTAAATGTAGTCGAGAATTAGGTGAACTTGCATGGTTGAAAAAACGAAATACAATTTATTTTATAAATAATCCAGAATTTTTCAATAAGAATGAATGTAAACTTGATAGTGTATATCAAAATTTTCAAGAAAATTTAGTTATGGGTAAATAATTGTCACTTTACTTAGGATTTCATATATATTCTTTTACTTTTTATTTTAGGAGACGTTAAATGTACGTGTGGAAATTCTCTTGGTGGATGTCAAAAATTTATGGATCGACCTGAATTAGGTACATTATGTGCACTTAAATGTAAACAAATCAAATTTGCCATTGACAAGCGATCACCTTTTATAGAATTTCAACAATGGAGCAAAAATAATCGTTTTGAAATTGAAGAACTTGAAGAAATTTAAATAACTTGTTTTTTATTTACAAATTTTTTAAAAATATTCTTTTATTGAATTATCTGTGATTGAATCCGTCCTTATATTCTCTTTCTTTTCTATCCCTCTCTTAGTTTCTCTTTCGTTCTCTCTCTCTCTCTTTATTTCTACTGCGAATTGATTTAACTATTTGATCATTTATATCTTTTTTTTCTATATTTTGACGACTAGATATATATCGTCTCTTTGTTCGTATAATAACATGTAATCTTATCGTCCATTACATATATATGTATACCCCATTCGTTAGTCAGTCAGTATATGGCAAGTCATGTTCGTTCCTCTTCACTTCGTGTCTTCTCTTTTCTGTCTTTGTTTTCTTTATTCTACACTCTTTCAATTTTCTTATCAGCTATCCTGATCATTTTTTACAAAGCCGTATTCATATAACATTATTCGAAATATTATCATTTATTTTTTATTTCAGATTTCAAATGTCATCATCAAAAGCTGTATTACGATTTGCTAAACTTAGTGAATATGCATTTCCACCAATGAAAGGTTCAGCTTATGCAGCCGGTTGGGATCTTCGAAGGTAACCTTGAAATCTTCTTTTACTTCATTTGAAAAGAAAATTATGTATTTTTTAGTGCATATGATTATGTATTACCAGCACGAGGAAAAATAACAGCTCAAACTGATATTCAAATTGCTGTACCCGCTGGCTGTTATGGTCGAGTTGGTTAGTAAAAGCTTTTCAAAAGTCTAAAGGAGTCTTTTCATTTTTTGTAATGAACTTAATAAAAATAAGATCATTCTGTTTGTTTTCTAGCTCCACGATCTGGTATAGCTGCTAAATTTGGTATTGATACTGGAGGTATTGTTATAATTAAATCTTTAATATTTATAAATTCTATTTTCTCGAAATAGCTGGTGTTATTGATGCAGACTATCGTGGTAATGTTGGTGTTGTATTATTTAATCACAATGATTCAGATTTTACTAGTAGGATTTGATATTTTTATTACGAATTAATTTAAATTTTACTTAATTTTAGTTAAACGAGGTGATCGTATTGCACAATTAATTTGTGAAAAAGTCGAAATGGCTGAATTAGTGGAAGATGAAGTTCGTATTTTGATTATTATTTTCTTTCATCATTTTATTTTTCAATTTTTATTCTTTAGAAACTCGATGAAACTGTACGTGGTTCAAATGGATTTGGTAGTAGTGGTGGATTTTCACATGTTCAAAATGGCACGTCTCATTAAATAAATCTCTATCATCAGATATTCTATTCATTTATTTTTTTTCTCTGTTGTCTAAAAGACATGTATTCACAAATCTCTTCATTTATTATTTCTCTATATATGATAATAAATTGATCTATATTTTTCATTAATTAATATTCAAGTATTCATGATGATAATGCGTCAATAATCTAATCGTTTCGATTTAACATTTGTTTCATTAATTTCGCAGTCATCCTATATTTTCTAGAGGTTTAAAACCAATTCTATTATGACCTATTTTTCAAACAGTTCCCCTTTAATCATGATATATAAAAAGATAGTCAATTTGAATAATGCTTATTTAAATTTACAATAGATTCCACTGGGTCAATAACTTCCGGACTTGATTTATTGAACGTTTTTGAGAACATGGCCCGGTTGAACTGTATGTATTTTCATACTCTCAATGGAAGTTTCTAATCGGAGTTTGATTGTCATCCAAAAGATACGAGATACTTTTCGTCGATATTTGTATTCGATGACTTGCGCATCGTACACATTTCCTAAATGACTGGAGTCCATCGAATTCAAAATTTTTGGATCCGAACCAACCCAGCGGACTCTAACTTACAATCAAGTTAAAAACCGTTCGAAATTTTAAACAAAACATCTAGCTTGGAATCCATTTAGAGAAGAAATGAGGATGACTACTTATGAATAATAAAGTTTTTTTTTGAAAATATTTTCTTCTGTCGACCAAAAATTACTGTATGCAGTTGCTGCTATGTAGGATGATTATATCTTCGCTCGTCATAGAAATGATAAGACATTTATTAAACATAAAGCAGTGATACTGAAGTATATTCATACTCCGGAATTTTCCAAAATTTATCAAATTCTGTAAGACTTTTCTACACTCGACACAATTCATTTGAAGAACAAGACAACGTCATCTTGTAGTTTCTTCTGTATCAAAAACCAAATTTCGTCTAATGCTGAAGATACGTTGAAACAAAAGCGAAAACAGAATTTTCATAGAAAAGTAACATCTTGTATCACGTTTGTATCGATTTGAGGTATCAGAAAATCAACATCATGCTTTGTTTTAGAGAATTTTTACATGTTGAAATACATTTTTTTAAAACTTATTATTTGCACAAAAGCTCTCAATTCGATCTTCAATACTCGAAAAATCTATTATATGTTTACGTATCAAAGATTTGTTATAAAAACAAATTTAGAAGAAAAGTAATATGGTAACAACAGTAAGATCTGTTACAAATGAAAGAAAAAAAAACTCATGTGTAACAGTGCGTACAATAGAAATATAATTTTATGATTATTTTTCAGTGTTACACTTTAGCTAATTAAAACATTCTATATTACACGCCTCGATCTAGAATCATTTGAACGACAGGCAATTAACATTGAATAACTACCATATCATATCTACTCTTGAACACCTTGTTTTAGAATATCTTTTATCAGAAAAATCTTTTCATAATGAAGAATTTGATTAGCTTGTTTTTTAAAATCACAATCATTATTCTTATCTATCTCGTATTTTTATCTATGGCAACAACACGTTATACTATGTACAGAAATGCTCAATTTGATCCGATTGATCGACGCTATATAATAAACAGTTTTTCATCAGTTAGTTCGGCGTATAATTGTCTGTGTCAATGCTACAATAATGCCATTTGTTTTACAGTAACATATTTTGGTTTTAATCAAACATGTTTACTTTTCTTTGCACAATTGAATCAAGGACAATTACGGGTTGTACCAACTATTGCTAACGCAAAAGTTTACTACCTTGGAAACAGAAGTTTCAGTGGTAAGTAAGAAACACATTTTTGTGAACCAGATAAATTTAGAAAGAATCTAAGTTATTCTATTGTTCTTGTGATGTGTTAAACAGAGTAAAAAAAAGCACATAGACGCTCATTGGCACTAAAAAATGTCTATATAACAATATCCTTAAAAAAACCTAATGTTGACAATGCAAAGGGGAAAAACAAAGGGGAAAAAGCAGATTTCAAGATGCCCAAAGATTTCCAAAGATTTCTAGAGATTTTCAAAGATTTTAGGTCCCAAAATCTGCTTTTTCCCCCTTGGTTATAAGACAATGATGATTTTCATATAGTTCATTTCTTTCTTATATGAAACATAAATAATCAATAAACATTGAATAGTTACTCGAAGAGATAACTCTGTATCGAATTAGAATGACTTTTTCGGAGCTTCGTCAGTTTCTGTATAAATTTTTTTTCACTTTCTACTATCATTACATTTAGACTCTTTATCTATGTATCTCTTACTTCCAATGGACGCATAAAAGTGAAGAAATTGGGGTGTATATAGGCGAAAAAAGAATTGAAGAGCTAAATGCAGCTGATTAGAAAACAGTGAAATTCTAAATACAACAGCCGGAAATACATTCATAATGTAGTCATCATTGAAAATTTTCCATCTACTCTTTTTCTATTCGTTTTTGAAGTGTTTTCAGCTCAATGGTCGATTCTTTCTCTATTCTAATAAAGATGACAGAGAGTAGTGAAAGCTCATCTCGACTCATGGTTAATAGATTCAATGTTAACATATTTAAACCGATTAATAAAAAGATATTATTCAAAGATTTCATTATTTATTTTCGTACTACACTTGTGTACGATACATAACAGTTCACAATTATGATGCATGATGAAAAAGAAAACAATGATCAAAAGGATAGATACGTCTAGGAGAACTTATTTTAACATCATTTACTCTCTAAAAAATCATTATCTTAATAGATTCATGACCGATTATCTCTATCAGATTCTTCATATGAGTCAAATGAGAAAGCGCATATATATCTATGTATTATACCGAAAGAGACAGATCTTGAATCTTTTACTAGTTTACTTCAAATTCTCAAATATCTTCTTATTATGATTTCGATATGCATCTGAAGTCACACATACATAGATTTCAAATAGTTCTGCTAGACGTAAGTTTTCTACTATTTGATGTAGGATCTTGGAAACATATTTCATTTACAGCAACATTTTCAAACTAAAGTTGATTGTAGCAGAAACATGAATGTGTATATGAGTTGAATCCATATTCGAATAATTCAACAATTGCACGTTCTTCTTTCCTATGACAGATGAAATAATACTTTTTCTAACATACATTACAATAAAAAAAAATGCTTTTATCATTAGTAATTACTGATCCTTATTTTACTCGTTTCCCATTCTCAGAGATAATTCAAGTATAATAAATACGAAAAATTCGATCTTCTTATTTCAAATTGCTCATTGTTACTTATAGTATACTAGTTCATCTCTATGTCTGCCTAGAATAATAAAAGCTCGTATGTTCATATAAGAGTATATGAAACCCATTTTGCAAAATTAGAACTGTTTTCTTTTTGAATAGCTCTAAAATTCTTTAATCGTTCAAATGAAACTGTTTATGCCATATGGAATACAATAGCAGGTGGCAATAGTTCACCAATATTAACTAATGAAATTGTGGATATATATTATCCTGATAATTCTCCAGACGCCTTATTCGATTATTATATGACCACCGAGTATACAAATTACGGAAGCTGTAGTAGCAGTTACTTATCTATGTTGATAACATGTGGCGAAAATACTGGTTGGTATTTAACATTGGACAATAGCTTCTTCAGTCTAGTAGCATTTTCTGTGGGTACAAATACGAACTATCCACAACGTGATCCATTGACAATCACTATTGAAGGTAGTAATTTGTATGGAAATGAACTTATCTTTGGATGGAGCTGGACGTTAATCTATAATGGTAGTACAGGACTTAAATACAGTCCAGGAAGATCAACGTTAGGAGTATTGCAAACAATTCCTTATTTTCCAATACCATTCGCAAATTATCGTGTTCTGGTTACTTCAAAGAGAGGCATTGAAACTTGTACATCATACACAGAATTCATGATGATTGGCTATTGATACATCAAGAAGGATTAAATTTGATACCTGAGAGTTATTTTTTAAAGATTGCTCACTATTAAACCAGTTTATTTTTCTTGTGTGTGTCTAATTCGTTTTGTGAAACAAAATAATTTAATAATAGAAATAATTGATTTTAAACAGTCATTTGAAATTATATTAAACAAATGAATATTTGTTAACCTGATAACAGATAAAAAGAAGTTAGAGCATGTCGAATTGTGAGCACATTGGCAAGCGAACCACATTCATTTAACTACAACACTGCTCAGATACAAGTAATAGATTAGGTCTGCCAATGCATAATATATCACAATTTGATGAGATATACCAAACACAAAGCATTATTATAGTAAATCGAATTATATAATTTGTTTGTTATTTTCGTTGCAACACATTTGATTACGTTAGTGAAAATATTCACTAGAAAAAAAGAAGAGATAAGTATGAATTTGAAACTATATATAAATTAATCAAGAAAAATATTTATTCATGAGCATCATGTGATAGACTTTTAAAATGAAACTCATTTTTGATCTATAAAACAACAGTTGGCAAGGGAACTTCTTCAGTTGCCCTCTTCCAATTTCAATGATTTTTTTGTCTACAGATACTATATATTGTTCTAATAAAAACTGTAAAAGGATTTGGATTACTATTGAGACTTGATTAAGCTATCAAATTTTTAATATGTATATTTTCTAGACGCTTCTAAATGACTAGAGTATTTCAGAGACCTCTTGAAAAAAAATTCGATAGCCTAGTCAAACATCAATAGAAACCCAAATAATGTAAGGGTTTTTACTGGACCATTATATAGTATTTGCAGTCAAAAAAAAAAACATTGAAATTAGAAAGGACACTCGAGAAGAATCTCGTGAGTCAAGCTAATATAAGTAAGATTACATTTTTGATTATATTATATAACAAATGAGAAATGGATGGAATATTCTATTTCATTTGTAAAATGACAAATTTGACAAAATTCATTTTTTTTTGTTTTCTTGCTCGATTGATTAAACATAAACGAATATGCATTCGAACTTGATAACTCAAAAATACATTACAAAGTAGGATTTGATCTTGGCTATTTATTTATTTATTTAATAAAAAGAGAGAACATAAGAATCAACAAAGACAAAAAGAAAGATTATGTTTGAAAATGAGTAAGTGCTTTTACCATAAGTGATCCCGATGGAACAAGACCTAAGACATATGAAAATATCTTAAAGAATAAGAAAAAAATAAAATTTCATTTTGTATTTACCAAGCTCATTTAATGATTTATGATTATCACTTTCATGAAATTCCTTTTTGGGATAATTTTGTAAAAGCATAAATGGATGAGACTGTTGTGCTTGACGTATCCATTCAAAAACCTTTTCAAATCGATCACTTGCTTTAAATATCTGTCGCATTGTTGATCCATCAGATAAACGAACTTGAATATTACATTCATCATATTGTCGTGTTGGTTGTGATGCAGCAACTTGTTGAGGTTTTGCTACTGGAACATCTTCAACAACTCCTCCACTTTTTTCTGCAGCTGCTTTTTCACGTCGAGCACGTTTATCAGCTTCAATTTGGTCAATAGCACGTTGTTTAGCTAATTGTGTTTCAAGTTTTTCACGACGATTGGCTTCAGCAATTTTTTTCATTTCATCTTCCTGTCGTCTTCAAAAGAAAAAAAAAAGCTGTTAGCGCAATCCCTACGTGACCGCAATGTGAACCTTGATGTAATTGCTATTGCTAATCATAGGGATTCTATCGACTTTGGGTACACATTTCTTTACCATCCTTTTAATTAATCCTTCAGAAATGCAACAAGGCAGTAGTTCATATAACATAACGAAACATTATGGATATGTGGTCTGTAATCATATATCAACAATATAAGTCGCAGTCTATGACACAAGATGGGAAGCGTTACCAGTGTTTTATCCAGTGTGGGAGCCGAGAAGACGCTCTCTCTCCGAATATGGGATTGGCCTTTCTACGATTTGTGGTTATTTTAACACATACTATATGTCTGTGTTCTGAAAAAAGTAGATGTTTGCCCACTTGGAACTTTAACTCGTTCTTCCCAAGGAGAAAATCTAAAGTAAATACTGAGCGTTGCTAAGGCGCCTGTCACGATTGGTGATGAAGGAGAGACATTGTTAAGATATCTGTTAAGAAGTCCCAAGTTCTACCCATATACTTCAACATTCCTTTCAGATTATGTTTCACAAAAATACGCAATAACATGAGTTCAATAAATCATTTTTTTAAACATATATTCACTTTTGTTTGATTTCTAATAAAGTTTTTCCTTCAACAATACGTTTTTTTTCCATTTCGATTGCTTTTTTTTCATCAGCTACTTGTTGTTCTTTACGTCGAGCAACAATACGTTCTTGAATTCTAAGATAAGAATAAAATCAAATAATCTTTTTTGAAAAAAGAAATTAAAATATAATACATACTTTTTCTTCATTTCTTCTTTTTCTTCAGTTGTTAATGGTTTAATTGTTTCTGTACATTCAGAAAAACTTGAATGATTTGTTCGCATAGCATGAGCTGTTGCTGCATCTGCATCTTTTAATAATTTACCACATCTAAAATAAATAAATTTATATTGCATAACAAAAAACAAGATATTTTTCTTCTATTCTTACTCGTCACATTTGAGTGAATTCGCTTCAGCTTGATCTTCAGTCGTTGTTGCTGCTGCAGTAGTACTAGAACTTAAATTGAGTACTGGTTCAGAACTAATTGTAGTTCCCGATGCTATTTCATTCTCATGTGTCGTAATCCTAAATGAATCGATCTTTTTACTTTTAATGTTTCCTGAAAAATTTTACCAATCAATAGCTTGTTCCATATTTGCAGCTTTTCCTGCATTAATAGCACTATCACTTTAATAAAGAACGAAACATATCAGTATAGAAAAATAACGTGAATAGGTTAAAACATACATTTGGTTTTTTTCAAAACCCATTTCGGCAAGTTGTTCAGCGATAGACATGTTTATAAGATATCTGAAAGAAGAGATAAATCATTGTTTGTATTAAAAAAAAACGAATCATCAATATTCTAACGTTGCACTAAAATATAATAAATATAAAAGATAAGAAAAATACGATGTTATTAAAGACTGAAGCACTCTTTTGCTTTGGCTACAATCATATCAGCAATCGGTAATGATGATGTTGCTGCAGGACTTGGCGCATTTCTTACATGTAAAATTCGATTTTTTAGATGACCAGTATTAACTGTCTCAAGAATAAAATCTTCAACAAGATTTCCATCTACTGATAAAGCTTGCGCTCGTACACCACTTGGACCTCTAAATACAGAAGAAAAAAAACATGTTTGTTTTTGTAGATATATCATCTATCACAATTACCGTTCAACATCTTTAACAGTTAGAGCTGGTACAAATTTTTGCAATTCTTTCACCGTAGCCGATATTGAATAAGCCCGACGCATTTCATTAAACCCATAGCTCATATGTTTCCAAGCAAGATTACGTAGACCACTAAAATATATAAGTATAAACAGTCATGATTAGAATTTTTCATTCAAAGTATATAATAGTTGATCAGCTTTTCAAAACTCTCAAATGTTTTTTTATCGGATTAAAAGACTTTCCGAATTAATCATTTTATGTAACAAAGTTAAATATCTCGTATATGTTGAGGAAGAATTCTAATCCATTCAACTTCTAAAATCATGAATCTCGATGAAAGCGAAGCTAGCCGTGTGAGATCCTTCCACTTTTTTTGTTGTGTATGCGAAAAATATCAGTACTGGCTAGAAAACTTTTATGCGATTCAAACTGGACAAAAACCGCCGGTAGACCATTCGATATAATGTTCGCTATATCGACCACAATTTGATACTTGAACGGTGGATCATCTTATAAGGATACTATGGTATGTCGGCAGTAGTGAAAACAAATGTACAAAATGGACTGCCTGGCGAAATCTGGTTAACAGCTCTTTTATCTGCTAGAAAATCTGCGTTTGGCTATCTGACAAATTGTAACCTCATCCATTGTTGAAAATAATCGAGATTTATATCCGTAAGCAGATTTTTCATTTCCTCTCATTTTTTTCGCATACGATTTCATTGATTTCAAGTGAATGTCAGGTATAAGGAAGCATTAAGTACTTTATTGTAGTGTAATACATGACTGATGACAATTTACTTCAATGAAGAATATACGTCTTTCAATACAGTTGAGCAACACTACAAATGAAAGAATTAACAGAGAATGCTGCACGACTGGCTTATCTCTTTTTCTCGTATCTGGTAACTGCTTCGGATCATTAAACCCTTATCGTCGTCGACTGAAAGCTCCTCTGGGAATGCAACATAGGTAATTATATAAATACAGATGAAGTAAAACTAGTAAAACATTTAGAAGATATCAGAAAAAGAGATAATGTAACCATGAACTATTCTATCAATCAACTCATTTTTAGTGTTGGTCGATTGCATTGAATGATGAACATTCATTATTGAAGCAGATCGTAATCAATCATACATTACACTAAAATACAGTATTCTAACCATTCTTGTCACCAACATTCACTTGAAACCAAAGAGATTCGATACGAAAAGAATGAGAAACGAGGGATGAAGAGTTTCGTCCATTGATATATGTCTAAAATAATTTGAATTTAGAGTTTTTCACGGCTACACTTTAAATGTCCTATTCTACGATATAAAATATTCAATTTCTCAAGAAAACCTAACAGATTTAATAAGCCTTGAATTTCGTTGTGTCCCATCGACTTTTCCATTTCGTATGAGACATTTAACGAGCTGCTCTGAAAGATTATTTATCATTAGTGTTTTTGTGAAATAAATCTTATCGAGGTTTTTCTTATTCCAATTACCTATTGAATGCATGATCAATTGTATCTCGAATGCTGAAATCAAATAGACCGTATCCTTCACGTTTCATTGAAAGAACAGCATTAGGACCAAGCCAAACAGAACCGTCCATTCTT